ATCTTTTGCAAGATCTACCCATTGTTTCTTTTAATAGAACTAAGAATAGTGCTTTTGCTCTATCATTTTGTCATTTCAAAATGCCAGCTGGGAGGAAAGCTCACAGATGTGAAAATAGCCATAAAGAGACTTCTCCCTGATCATTGAGTTTGTGTGTGAGAGAGGTTCACTTTATATACTTATTGAAAGAATTTGTATGGCTGCCCAACTTGAATAATATAACTCTGACTGGCTTACAAAAAAACAACCAAGGTAAAAATAACAATCAGCAATAAGCAATAAGCAATAAACATTCTTTACTGAGAAATGTTCACATCTGTCTGATTGCCCTCAGAAAAAGCTGCCTATATGGCTGTTCTGCTAGGGATATAGGAAGTCCTCTTTTATTTTATGATTAGGATTCATGTACAGAAATACCCATGGATCAATGAGTTTAATGAAAAGAAGGACTGGGGAGATATGCTAGCAGTGTTCCAATATCTCAGGGGCTGCCACAAAGAAGAGGGAGTCAAGCTATTCTCCAAAGGACCTGAGGGCAGGACAAGAAGCAATGGATGGAAACTAATGAAGGAGAGAAGCAACGTAGAACTAATGAGAAATTTCCTGACAGTTAGAACAATTAATCAGTGGAAAAATTTGCCTCCAGAAGTTGTGAATGCTCCAACACGAGAAGTTTTAAAGAAGATGTTGGATAACCATTTGTCTGAAGTGGTGTAGGGTTTCCTGCCTAGGAAGGGGGTTGGACTAGAAGACCTCCAAGGTGCCTTCCAACTCTGTTATTCTATTCTATCATTTAGAGTCCAGTGAAGTTAATTTCTCCACATTCCCAAACTCTTTTCTTCTATCTATTTATTTATTTAGGAAGAAAGAATATTAGTCACATGTTATTTGTGAGTGTGTGTGTAAGGACATGTCTGTGTGTGTGTCTTGTGTATGTGTGTATGTGTGAGAGAGATCAGCATATAACCAAGTCAAAAATAACTAGAACACAGTTGGTGAAGACGTAAAAAGAAGGTAGGAGGTATAAAACCTAACTAACTCAGAGAAGCACACAAACACGATGACATTCTGAGAGAACAATCTGTTCTTTCTCCATGACCCTTCCAAATATATGAAAAATAGGGAACGTTACACAAATGGTCAACTGGTATGATCAGTTCAAGCAGCAGGACAAAAGTTTTCATTGCTTCTCAGGAATCTGTTGAATGAAAAGTACCAATTGAAGATGGTGTGGAAAAGCAAAGCTTTGTGGCTTATTAAATACTAATCTGTAAATGAAATCAAATGTGATATGAATATGGCTAGTATCAAAATACAGATAGAGCTTGTTTTTATAAAAGCATCCTGGGCAGACCAGAGCTAAAGTGAAGGGAGAAAAAGAATTGAATGTCTTGACCTAAAATACAGGTAGTCCTCAACTTACAACAGTTCATTTAGTGACCGTTCAAAGTTATAACCTCATTGATAAAAATGACATGATCATTTTTCACATTTACAACTGTTGCAGCATTCCCCTAGTCATGTGATCAACATTCAGTTGCTTGACAACTGACTCATATTTACAATGGTTGCAGTGTCCTAAGGTCATGTGATCACCTTTGGTGACCTTCTGAGAAGCAAAGTCAATGGGGAAGCCAGATGCACTTAACAACCATGTTACTAACTTAACGACTGCAGTGATTCACTTAGCAACTGTGGCAAAAAAGGTCGTAAAATGGGGCAAAATTCACTTGACAAATATTTCACTTAGCAACAGAAATGTTGGGCTCAATTGTGGTCGTAAATTGAGGGCTACCTGTACAGGCAACCAGTAAACAGACAGGCAAATTGCCAGGCTTGAGCCTCAACAGCAGTCCCAGGAAGAGGGAGGCAGCTATCAGCACCCCTTGCTGTGGTAAATCAGGGCTGTCCAATGACCGCTGTGCTCCTTGGCCTCCAGAGCAATCTGCCTGCCCCCCAGGCAGAAAAAGGAAGTTTTTTGATCTCTGGTATGAGCCATGATGAGATGCATCTTGCCAATCTTTTTTATTCTTTAAGATTTAAAAACCCCTTTTCTCTAACACCTACTTGCTGCATCTGGTGAGTCCCAATTCATTAAGTTATATTCTGTACATCAGTGCCTTCTATTCTTGCCCATCCACATTTGAATGAACTGAGAACTGCATTTACATTCCATATTTTTATTTTCATGTTTCATGTATTAAGTTTGAAAAGAAGCTTTTTATTGAAACTATGAAAACTGCCCTTTGATGGACTAATTGGCTTCATTGCCATCATTAACACAAAAGAAAATACAAAATGCAAAATAGGCTGCCTTACGTCTTAATTTGCTTAACTTTAGCGAAATGAGTAATCTAATTTATGTTGATAAATATCATTTCTGGATGACAATTGGATAAAAGATAACTATAAATAAAATCACTTTGACCTGCCAGAAACATTTGCTAGAAGATATTATTTATTCAATATCAACACCTAGGGCTAAAATGGACACACATTTTACACTGCTACCAGTTGAAAACATATAATTCTACCCAACCACAAGGAAGGAAAAGAAGATATTGTTACTTTAAAAAAAAAAAAAAACAAGATAGCAACTTGAGTTTAGAAAAAGATGTTTAGGAAAAACGAAAGCATAATGTGTTCAGAATACAATAATCTGAGTTTGGTCATTTGTGCCCTGAATTAGAATTCTTTCATTGATTTTTTTCCCCTATGATTTGCTTCTTGGCTATCCATAAAATCCTCAGGTGTCTTTCCCAGAACTAAAGTCTAAAAGCATCAACACTCTTTTTCTATTTTGTTTGTCTTCTTTGTAAGGTTCAAGACATATCATATTTTTTTCTAAAGGCTTTATTGGTACCTACCATACACTAAAAAAAGGGACATGGTGGCTCAGTGGCTAAGACGCTGAGCTTGTCGATTGAAAGGTCGGCAGTTCAGTGGTTCGAATCCCTAGTGCTACGTAATGGTGTGAGCTCCCATTACTTGTCCCAGCTTCTGTCAACCTAGCAGTTCGAAAGCACTTAAAAAATGCAAGTAGAAAAATAGGGACCACCTTTGGTGGGAAGGTAACAGTGTTCCGTGCACCTTTGGCATTTAGTCATGCCAGCCACATGACCACGGAGACGTCTTCGGACAGTGCTGGCTCTTTGGCTTTGAAACAGAGATGAGTACCACCCGCTAGAGTCGGGAATGACTAGCACATATGTGCGAGGAAAACCTTTACCTTTACCATACACTAGTCTGCAGTATATTCCTTGACTATTGATTCCTTTACTCTGGGTTGTTTTTAAAGGGCAAAAACTTTGCACCATTTCAGTATCTTCATTGTCAAGCCTGGTTGCTAAACTAGATTTAATGATGCATTAGAGCAGGGGTGTCAAACTCACGTTGTCATGGCGGCATCACATGCTTTTTTCCCCTTTACTAAACCGGGCGTGGGCGTGGCCAATGCATGACTCATCTAGGCCGCAGGCTGGGAGTTTGATAGCCATGTATTAGAGCAAGGGTCTCCAAACTTGGCAATTTTAAGACTTGTGGACTTCAACTCCCAGAGTTCCCCAGCCAGCATGGGAAGCTGAAGGCATGGGAATTGAAGTCCACTTGTCTTAAAGCTGTTGAATTTGAAGATCCCTGCCTTAAATGACTGAGATAAATACGTATTAATATGGCTCTTTTTAAATTCATGTTAATTACTTTTATGTGTATCTTTTATTTTACTACAATTGTATTATTTTTATTTTTGCTTGATAATTTTCACTCTAATATAAAACAAAGCAACCTACAAAAACAACAAAACCCAATTGTATGACTATTTAGCAAACTAGTATAATGTTGCCTGCATTCTGCTTGGAAATACACATAGCCTACCCTCAACGTTTTCTAAAATAAAGATCCTAGCTTGCACTGAAAATAGGATTTATTCCTAAAACCGAAGAAAATGCAAGCTGTTTGAAGAAGCTGACATTTCTTTATTTTCAAATCAACTAAAAGTAGCATGCTGTTCTCCTATGGTTTTAATTAATGTGTTAAGGCAAACAAATCATATCTTATATATTTATATGTGTGAAATTGAAAGTAAGTAAGTAAGGAAAGTAATTAGTAAGTGAAAAAAGATACAAAGATACATACATACATACATAAAGATACAAAGAAGAGAAAGAAAAGAAAGATTGAAAAAAATTAAAGAAAAGACAGTTTCTGATCTTCTTAACAGCAGTTCTACAAGTACATGTATATTTATCTTCTCTTTCTTAGAAACCTTCTCTTTCTTAGGTTACAACATAATTTCCTTCTTTCCTTAGTCTTCACTTTCCAATTATCAAACCCATAAATCACATTTTTAAATTGTTTTAGCAAACAGCCCAGAAGAGGTTTCCAGTCACCAAAAATACAGTTACTCTCTATAGATTTCAGTCTAAAGTGTTCTTCAATAGCTTTCCTCAGTGGGCACACTCCAAGGCAAACTGGGATTGTGACTTCCAGATTTTCTTGTCAAAATGGTTAAAGCCTAAGCATTCTGAGAATTTTATCCCAAAATGTCCAGAAGACACAAAGTTGGAAGAGTTTGCACTATATTACATTTTTGTTTCAATTTTAATTTGGATGGCAGCAGAATTGATTGCTACTTAACTGTACAGTTTGCCTAACTGATATAGAATACCAGAATATAATTACAGAATGATTGTCTTCTAAATATTCCAAACTAATTGGAATGTAATCTACATTACTTTACCGGTAGGTTCCAGCAGGGTGTAATTCTATGACACTTCTTGCTCTAGGAATAACCTGTTGTGCAATAATTTTCATGTAGATATATGGTCATTTCCACCTGTGCAATATTGTCAACCTGTTTCTCCTGTTTAAATAGTGACATTTTAAAATTGATTTTGTTTTCAGTTGTCTGTTCAGTTTTCAGCAAAGCAAATGTGCCTGCTTTGAAGCATAGAAGTAGAAAACAGCCAAGTTGGAACTGAAAAAGAAGTGATAAGAGGAGCCATTTAATTGATCTGTTTACTACATAAATCAAGTAAAAGGTAGGATTGCTCTTGAGAAACAAACAGTTTCCAGGCTGTGAAAAAAAAATGGAGAGTGAAATTAATACAAAATATGCACATTAGTAGTCTTCAGAACTTCTCCAAACAAATTAAACTATATGGATAACCAACATTTTGGCCAAATTCTCTCTTAAGTTTAGACAGAATAGCAATGGTTGCCTCTCCAAATAAAAATGAAAGAACTGGGTTTAAAATACAAAGAAATACCATTGGTTTTTTTGATGGAACACATGAAAAGAAGCTTCGGGGTTATCAGTGGGCCTAGCTTTTTATAATTTGACTCTGGTCACCAAAGCTGCAGGCTGAGAATATCTGAAAAGACTGGCTATTAAAACCAACATAGTGATGTCTAAATGACCAGCCCTCTTCCTTCTGTGTGGACACCCTCCAACTGCAGAAGTCTAATAAAGTTGTCTAATAAAGGAAAAACTCAGAACCAGGGTGTCAAGATCTGAACTCAAATCAGGCTTGTCTATTACCATTGGATCCCCATATTCCAGAGAAGAAGGTTGAGGGAGAGTCAAGAAAATCTTTTAAAGCTTCTGTTCTTTTTCTTGAAAAGTTGCAGAAGTCTGTCTCACTGTTTCCAGCCTAGCTTCAGTCCAGGCATTTCATGTCAATTCTACCGGTAGACCAGAGCAGGAAGCAACTCTGCAGAAAGGCTAAAATTATTTTTATGGAGAAGGGTTTTAATAACAGAAACTTGCAAGTCTACTCATGTTGTACCTCCTCCCCCTTCTTAAACTCTTGTGAATTAGGAAAGTATCGGTCTGAGGCTCTTTAGCATATTTTCTGTTTGTTGTGGGCTTAAGATACGTTTTTCCCCTTGTTGCTTTGGTAACAGGGCTGCATATTCCATCAAGGTAATCTTCCTTACTCTCTACAGTACAGCACCTGGCACTGTTGTTGTTAGCCATTGCCACACATGGTTGCAGAGTCCGATTGTGTTTTGCACACTGTGCTCATTAGTTCTTCAAGCGAAGCTTTCAGTGCAAGACAAAATGAAGGATTTTGATTATCAACCAGTTGCAGAGCAACACTGATTAGGTCTGAAAAGGAGTCAAAGGTCAGCCAACTGCTTCCATGACTGAGAGAGGAGGAGAGGAGGAGAGGAGGAGAACCTTAAGGAGGACCAGCACCTTAACCATTATATCACACTACTCTTATTTTTTACTCTGTGGCTCTGTCCTTTTCACTCTCCATTTATCTTGATTTAAGAAGTGAGATTTCCCCTGATTTCCACAGATTTCTTTCTACCCATTCCTGCATCTCCATGGGACTGATACGTGTAATTGAGCTCCTTTTCATGTCTTCTGAAGTTAGGTTAATTGAATTCTATGGGCCTTATTCTTAGGAAAGTGGTATGGGGCAAAAATGGGCAGCCCATAGGACACGTGACGTTTCCTAGCACTTCTACAGAATCCCAAACATTCGTAGAGTAGATCCTTTATTGAAATCCATTTATAGAAGGAAATCAGGCTGATTATTCCCATTTGAATGTGGTTATAAGCTTCTGCAAGCCCATTCTTTTCCTGACCATTATGGTGATCATATGATAACATTTTTGATCTTCAAATGAATGAGTTTTACAACAATGGTATTGATTGCCAATTTAACCATAGTATCACCAAATTGGATGAAGCACATATTATTATGATTAATATTTGGTAAATGGCTAATGCTTCTTTTTTATGTTTTTATATATATATATATATATACAGATAATGTACCCCTCAGTCTCCAGTGACTTCCTCTTGAGGAACTTGGATTCTGGAGAATCTTTTGCCCGTTATGACATTTCTCACCACTCAGAAATGGGATATTTAAACATAATATTTGTTTTATATTTTAATGTAACAATCTGTATTGTGATATCTGCACAAGAACTTTTTAAGCAGCCTTTACTGTCTAATTTTGGGGAATAGATGACATGTTTGAAGTAAAACTAAACCAGATGCTTCACCAGTGTCATTTGGAAACAAGATATAATTAGGTGATATTATTCTAAACATTATTCTACATGGATGTCAACATATCTCAGAAATTGTCAAAATCTTGTACAGAAAATTATTTTTGTTCATCTTGGTTACATAACTTATTTCTTTTGTCATTACACATCTAGAAATGGAGAGAACATCATCACTGCCACAGGGAGATCCTAATTGGTTCCAATTGTATGAGCATCTTGTTGCAGTTACCATTGCTATTATTATTTTATATTTTATTTTGTGACTGGTGTAGAGGTAACAACTGAGCACTGTAGCAACAGAAACCTAGCACAGTATTTGCATAAGAAGCCAGACACAAGTATATGGTCTTGTTTGACAAAACAGTTAATCCCATGGATAGGGTTTTTTTCCCATATATAAATATAATTATTGAATGGAAATGTCTAAGTATCACCCCTGAGATTTCCATTTAGGATTGGATGATGCCAGGGAATCAGTATAATATCTGCCCACTAATGGTGTGTTCATTCTAGATATACAATTAAAAACCAATAAGAACCTAGCCCACATGGGCTATAAATACTGTACTTATAGTTCAGCTTGTTGTACAAATCTATAAGATGAAATTTGTTAACTGTTAACCCCCTCCCCCTTTTAGCTCTTTTTAGCTTTTTAGCTTTTTAAGTGTAAATTGGGTTTTAATTGGATTGTTTTAAATTGTGGGCCAAAGCTGTATAATTCTTTTAATTTATTTTAAATTTTGTATTGGTATGTTTTTATCCTTGGCTGTGCACCGCCGTGAGTCCAATAGGAGAAGGGCGGTATATAAATTGAAATAATAATAATAATAATAATAATAATAATAATAATAATAATAAGTTGGCAATTTGATCTCTAGTTCCTCTGCCTCTTCGAAATCCTGCCTGTACTTCTGGTAGTTCTCAATCCACATACTGCTAGAGCCTAGTTTGTAGGATTTTAAGCATAAATTTACTAGCATGTGAAATGAGCCCAATGGTGGGATAGTTTGAACATTCTTTGGCATTGCCTTTCTTTGGAATTGGAATGTAAACTGACCTTTTCCAATCCTGTGGCCACTGTTGAGTATTCCAAATTTGCTGGCAAATTGAGCGTAGCACATTTACTGCATCGTCTTTAAGATTTTGAATAGCTCAGCTGGAATACTGTCACCTCCACTAGCTTTGTTGTTACTCAGATTTCCTAAGGCCCATTTGATAAGGTTTTGGCTTATAAGGTTTTGGCTCATCCATTGTCATTTCTATATAACAAGATGGCCAGAGGAAGCATACAGCCCCAGTCTTTTTTCTGGAATCCCAGAATGTAGATAGAATTGGTGGGCCACAAATAAGCATTTATTGTTTGTTTACAATAGCTTCATTATTGCCTTAGTGAGCATTTTGGATTCAAGTAGGGATTTACTGTAGTCTCAGAGTTAAGTACTGAAATCTGAAGTTCAGAAACACCTCAAGAATAAAAAAATCCCCATTTTTTTCCTATAAAAGGTTAAGCAGAAGGGCTTGGAGATTATTGTTTTTAACAATGATATGCCTGTTTTAGAGTTTACACTAGAGTTTCCATTTGTTTTACATCTCAAAATGGCAGGAATTCAGTTGCTGTCAGGTTTCACAGGGCAGGATTTAAGGGCCACAAAAAGATCACTTGAAAAATTGTAGGATTTTAGGCATTTGATCAAATTTGAAAAACTTATAACAGAAAATTCAGGACATCTGTGGTTCTTATTTACAAGTTATTTATGAAATATGTCTCTATTTACATCTAATTTTTTAAGAAGATGCTAGGTTATCATCACCAGAGTCACCAAGACCTAGTAACCACCTACTCTACTGCTATATGTAACCTGAGAGGATAATTTGGAGAAGAGCTGAAATGACAGAATTAAAATCTGAATAGCTGTGTATGCTGACAGGAGGTTCTTCAAATACCTGGATCCAAAATGCTTCTTTATTTTATTTTATTTTATTCTGGTTCATGACCAGCATGAAACTAGTTACAGTATTTTTCGGAGTATAAGACGCACCAGAGGATAAGACGCACCTAACTTTTTTGGTGAGGAAAAGAAGAAAAAGAAATCTCCCTCTACCTCTGCCTCTGAGCAATTTTGCCTTGTTGCAGCAAATAGCAAACAGCCTGCTTTACTTTCATTTTCATTTTCAGCATAGCTTGATTAGCACAAGGAAAAAAAAATCTGCTCCAGCAATTTACCTCTTTGCAGCAAGCAGCAGAGCCCTGCGCAAAACAGCTGAGAGCAAATCAGCTGAGAGTCGGGAGGCCGATCCAATCAACTTGTGCTAATTAGGCTGTGCTGAAGCTGAAAGGAGCTGTTTTTTCTAGCTGCTTGCTGTAAGGAGGTAAACTGTTAGGAGGCAGAGGGTGGGGCCAGTGGGTGGGCGGGGCTACATTTGGTATATAAGACGCATCTAAATTTTCACCCCCTTTTAGGGGGGAAAAAGGTGCATCTTATACTCCGAAAAATATGGTACATAAAAGCTATCTAAAATAGAAATAAAACAAAATTATATTGATAGAATAAAACAGTGTAAAAATAATGATGGAAAAATACAAAGGACAGGGATTAAATTCTGGGAGAAACCTGTAAAATTACAATTTTATTTGTTGTTTATTCAATTTCTACAGCCCCCCATCTCAGTAAAAGTCTGGGCTTACAATTCAGAACATATATTACAATTAATTTATAATCATGGCATGAAAGCATATATAATTAAGATAGATGACTATAAAAGGACATAAATAGGATTTATAAAACACTATGACACTGTAAAGCTATATTAACTTATATTTAGTCTAATACTTGCTGCTATCCTACTAGGGTTTATTGGGATCGTGATAATTATGATCCAACCAATTAAAACAAAGATATAGCAAATTAAAACATTGAATAGTATGTGTATATTTAAAAGGAAAAGAACAAAGGGGAAGGAAGGAGAGAAAGATTACACAATATATTTCGAGAAGTCAGAAAAAGTTGGTAAGTCTATACAAATCAAAGTTTAACTACTCTTGTTAGCTGCACATAGCTGATGAATAACTATATTTGATAAAATAAAAAAGAAGCCTTGAAAACTCAAATTGTTCAGGTAACAATAACTCAACACCTTTTTCTGAATGAAAATTGCTTAATTTGGAGCACATCATAAGGTTGCCCAATCCTGGGTCTCCCCCCCCCCTGTATTTTGATGATAGTTCCCTAATTTAGGAGGTCTACAAAGTGAGGCAGAGAATACTGCTCTTCTGTAGCACCACAATCCCTTTAGAATGGCCTTCCATTAGAAGTTAGACCAAATCTGATTTTAGCCACCTTCCAAAGCAGTTGAAGGTGGCAGTTGTTTGGGGGTCAGAACATTTATTTTTTATTTTATTTCGAATTTATATACCACACCTTCTCCTGAGGGACTCAGGGCGGTGTACAGCCGGATAAAAACATACAATACAAACATTAAAAACAATTAAAGGATATATATTAATTTGGCCCCAATTTAAAATAACAAACCAATTAAAAATATTTTAAAAATATGTTAAAAAATATGTTAAGCCAGCGTGGCTTGCTGGAAAAAGAAAGTTTTAAGGGTACGGCGGAAGGCACCGAGGTCTTGGATTCTCCTTATCTCTGGGGGCAGCTGATTCCAGAGGGTAGGTACCCCCACAGAGAAGGCCCTCCCCCTGGGGGTCACCAGCCTACATTGTTTGGCTGATGGCACCCTGAGGAGGCCCTCTCTGTGGGAGCGCACAGGTCGGTGGGAGGTCATCGGTAGCAGCAGGCAGTCTCGAAGATAACTAGGTCCTATGCCATGGAGTGCTTTAAAGGTGGTAACCAACACCTTGAAGCGCACCCGGAAGACCACTGGG